GAGCATCTCTGTTTGTGTCACTCCGGTAGCTCACCAGACCACTTAGACTTCAGGGTAAGGGGGGGAAATGCCTCAACTTTATTGGGGACAGAAGAATACTCCAGCTGCCATGGCGTGTGCGTGTGCATGTCTATTTTCATCCCTAAAAGTTTTTGTTTTTTTTCACTGCTGACTCGGCCCACTTTATGTCTTTCAGACTGGAGGAAAAACAGTTTTCAATGCACTCCTGGGGAAAGTCTAGGGGAATAATAAATAAATCAGTAAGCAGAAGAAGCATTTCCAGTCCAGACCCTGATACAACTTAACTCTTCAAAGGTTGCATCTAAAAAAAAAAATCCTCTGCCATAAGTTATCTATTTTCCATGTATAGACAGGATATCAAATACATACAATGTATACCATAATAAATCAAATGAATGTATCTGGTCAGGAAGTTTTATTCTACCATAATTATGCCTGTCTTTTGCATTTGGCCCGACTTCATTGGTCAAACATAAACCTTAAAAGCATAGGGAGTAATAATTATAATTCCTATATCCCTATCATTATTATTCCACAAGCGGCTCTGTCTGCGGTTTGTATGGTACACTTCAAAATGTTATTATCATAATTATTAATATGCAATTCAAACATGTTTCACAAACCTAATAGACATACCAGCACACACATGCATAAGAAGACAAATGTATGGTGGGAAAGACAGACAGGAGGAGAGGAGAAAACAGGCCTCTGCTGTTTGGTTTGTTTTACGTTGGCTGTTCTGTGTCTTCAGTGTTGTTGTTTGTTAATTAATGACTATAATCACAGTTCCCCTGGGCTGAAAGAGTTGGACTCTCCCATGTCTAATCTCATCTGGGGCCCTCAGCCCTGTTTGTTGAACTTCAGCTGCTTTCAATTTAGACTGTTCACTTGTGCTGCGCTGCCCATTTACATAACCATGATCATCAGCTGCTGTGGCCTCTTCTGCTACAGCCTGCCTGCTGAATGTACGCCATTTATGTTTCATTGTGGATTTCTTGTAATAAGGGGCTTAAATAATCAGCTGATATCTTTCATCAAATGTGTTTTTTGTGAATTAATTTCAGTAACATCAGTTTGTGTGTCTCTGTAGTTGGTGTTAAACTGAGGAATTCTTTACCAAATGATTTAAAGGGCTGTATGAACATCTTTAGGTTCAAGAAAATGTATAAGGAAAGAATATTAAGACAGTATGAAGATGTTAGGTAACATGTTTCGCTGATAGTAGATTGTTGTGTTGACTTTTGATTGGGTTTCATGTTACTGTAAGTATTTGTAAGCAGCTGTGATTGACAGACCATCCATTTTTTTTAGTAAGGGACAGGTTAAATAAGACTTTCTTCTCCCTGCTCCTTTCCATCATAGGCTGTAAACTGCTTAAAATGTACATGTTTTGTTTTATAACACTTGAATGGAATAAACTCATAAATCAATAAATATTGAACACCTGCTAAAGCAAACACAGGGGAATCCAGGAATGTGACAGAGAGAGAAGGCTAAATGAAAAGGTGCCTCCTTGTTTTGCTTCACTGTGTGGTCTGAGAGGAGTGGGAGTGGGGGTCACCTGCTCTCGTTCAGCTCGCTCCCACTCTGACCTCGGGCTGGGGTCGCCCCACTCACAGCTACTAAAGCCTGCTGCCATTAAAGCAGCTAATCACGCCAAACAGCTGCATCCCTCACTGTACAAATCCTCCACACCTCGCTCTCCCACCCACACATTCGCTCTGGCAGTCAGACAGACGCATATACCGTCGTCCACGCACTACCACTCTTCCTTTTGCTAATGGCAAGCTGCAGCCGGCTGATGTTTAAAGCGCGGGGTTTAGCGTGCAGGCCTGTGATAAGCCGCGCTGAGCTGTGAAAACACAGATTACATTTCTACGGCTTATTACAGACAGCGCGCCTCCCAGCCATACCGTAATTGCGACCCAAAAAACCGCAGCCTCCGCTTGGCTGTAAGATACGGCTTGATGGGGACCCCCCCCCTCCCCCCCGCGGCAGAGCTTTGACAGCCATGCTAATTCAAGTCTACGTTCCCCCCATATGTTTTCCTGCATGCCGGCCCCCTCCTGTGATAAGCTGCTGCCATATTTCTTTTAAGTTTTGTTCTGTCATAAATCAACGCGCGGATATCAACTGTTGTCTCTATCAAAAAGGAAGAGGGCAAAAGTCCAGAATACCTATCAATTTCACAGTTTTCCACGACTGCTTAGCGTGCAATCATCTTTCACTGCTGCACTGTATGTTTTAGCAATCTGTATCAGAGCCTTTGAGAGACAGCTCTAATTGAATAATGATGCTTTGTGGGTAACATTTGATATTCTGATATCACGAAATTGCTGCTAAATGAGGTGTAATTTAGATATTTGGGTTTGATGAAGCACGAGTTGGGATATCCCATTTGAAAACAAGCATCTACTTACTTGGAATGCCAAAGCCAACCAGGCATACATTAAAATCCCTGCTCCTGGCAAGCTATGAAAGTGCCTCCATCTGCAAATACTTAACTTTTTTTTTCCTTCTCAGGCTCAATCAAAGATAAAGACCATTGTGTTCCAGATCCACAAGTAAGACAATATCTCCCCAAACTCATAGAAAACAATTAGGACCTAGTAATTACAGCATTGGCCTGGAATTCAAGCCAAGTCCTAAGGTTGGGGTGAGTAAATAAGAAATGGAGAGCGCATGTGAAAGGTGCCTCCCTGATGATGCAGTGTTATCTTACTCCGCTCGGACTCTGACGGAGTGAGTTTGTTTATCAGCCTGAGTGTGATGTAATGTTTTGCTTTTGGAGCCTTTAGTATGAGCGTGATAGGTCAAAAAGCCTCACAGTCCTCTGTATGACAGCATGGCGTGATTTCTTCCCATAGAGTTCTTTTATTTATCTCTTCAGCCTGCCTCTTTGGAAACACATAAAAAACGATAACTTAAACAAAGACACGTTATCTTTACTTCAGACTGGACTTACATAATGTTGACCTATCGGCTGGCAGGTGGAAGGGTGAGAACAGAGGGACACAAGAGAAAACAACTCTCTCATCTCAATTGAAAATATGGCCATATCATTGGCTTAAACGCATGTATTTCCCCCTCTCGCACCGTAGAGCAGCCCCAGAGTCCTGCCGGCATGGACATTGTTGATATCTGCTGTAATGCAGAAGGGCCTTGGGAGTCAGACGTGGCCAGGGGCTTTTGGGTTGGCCTATTGAGAGACGGTTGGAATTAAAAGCACGGCATCGCGAGTAAATGAGCGGATCGTACACATTTTCCACAGTCTGTGAAAAACAGACAATCAGAAGGAAAGGGATGATGGGAGCACAGCTATACAAACAACACTGGCAATCCAAATGATCTTTAAAGATATATGTATCCGGTGTTCGTTATTTATGGGATTTATGAGATCAAAAGCACTTTGTTTTGAATGTCTGGCCTAGACATTAGATTTCCAAAAGGAAGTCTAATGATCTTTTTGCACAGCTTCTTTTTGTACTGAGCCTTTTTAATTCAGCCTCAATCAAGGTCAAACAAGTTCTCAAAGCCGTCTTGAAATACACAAAGAAATGCGTAGAGATTTGCAGAGGCAGCCGTAAACAGGTATTAAGAGCCTGGATTTGAAACTTGCCCTCACTGAACTACGAGTGCAGCTTTAACTTCACTTGGCAATACTATGGCAACAGATTTAAGCTCAATCCGTTCTCAAGTTTTGCCCGTGTGGCAAGCTATTATTTCTCCTTAAAGCGGCAAATGAGGCAGACAGCAGTGGAGTATCAGGTTCTGCGCTGGCAAGAGGTTCTGCTCACGCGGCAGGAGCAGAACAAAGCGCCCATGGCCCTGGTGAGCATCCACGGTGCCGGAGAGTAAAGGCCCCGTGAATGGGACCTGTCACTTCCACTCAGCGCTGCCTGTGATCTGAGCCACCCGGAACGACGCTCAGATAAGTGGCTAATCCCAGCACCCCCGCTGGCTCGACAGCCCCCTACCGCCATGACAACCGGAGGGGAATCTCCTGTAGCAACAACTTAATTGGATAATTTCCTCCCTGTTTGACTGTGTGTTCCTCTGCTTTTGTTAAGTAAAGTCTGGGCTGTCTGACTCTCAGTGTGTTCTTTGACTTTGAAAGTGGGAGAGATCTAAAACAAGCAGGACATTCAGCCAGTTCTGAAGTGCAGGGCTGAGAGTTGCTCTTACAGTAGTTACAACCTGGGAGTGGTGGCGTAAAAGAAGAAAAAACAGCCCCCGCCTTCAGCACCACAGAAAAGCGACCACTCTAACCACTGTAAACATTTATTGTCCTTTGTGAGGCAAAGACTGACGATTTATGTTACATCCAGTCACAACCTGGGTCCCTCCACCCTACTCCCCAGACTGCAGCGACACGGGGGCCAGTGCCAGGGGAAGGCACTCTACACTGGTGTGTGTGTGTGTGTGTGTGTGTGTGTGTGTGTGTGTGTGTGTGTGTGTGTGTGTGTGTGTGTGTGTGTGTGTGTGTGTGTGTGTGTGTGTGTGTGTGTGTGTGTGTGTGTGTGTGTGTGTGTGGCAGGCAGCTACTGTAGTTGAAAAATGAAAACAGCAGTGCTAGATTGGCACTTTAAGAGCATGACGACTTGGTTCCAGCTGGACCTTAAAACTCAAAACCACACACACACAAAGTCCACCTCGAAGAACAATGAACACATTTAAACTGATTAATAAAGTGGAGGCCTCACCCTGGAGCACCTAAAGGATCTTATTTCTTATTTAGATGACAGAAGTTGCATTATGTAAGCCTAATGGAAATCACTGCTATAAGGCAGCAATGCACAAGAGAAGGATGCACATGGTGAAATATGGGTAAGCTTGAAGAGATGAAGAATGATAGTAAGAGGAAACACAGACGCAATAATAATGTGATGTTGGCCCACTCCCAAGGGCCCCGACTGCTGTTCATTATTTTCTGCTGCTGTTTAAATAACGTGTGCACGAGTCCTTCTGTCTCCACTTACCTTCTACACAGGCGGCGCCGCTGAATCCTGGACAGCATTTCCACTCCAGAGAGGTCACAGTGCGATACACCACTTTATAGGAAGGTCTGACCACGGTCCTGTAGCTGAAATACACACACGAAATAAAAAGCAATCACACACAAACACAGGTTACAGTAGTTGTCTGTGTGTAAACTCGGGTGTGTGATCTGGTAACTTTGTGTTCAAATAAAAATGTATGTTTTTTTCATGTATAACTGGTGCACTTTAGTCTTTTAGACTTTAGTATCTCCATATCGCTACATTTTTGATTTCCTATATTTCCCATAATGCCTTTGTTCTACCCTGAGGAACAGGTGTACCACATTGTAACATGGTGTACCCAGAATATAACATGTGGTGCAGCTGCGTTGCATTCTGATCTATTGTTGAGACATTGGCATTTCTAACAATAGATTTCCTCCTGAGTGACATATGAATCACTCACTGTCAGAAGAGTGTGAAGAAAACCAGCAGTTTTTTTTTTTATCGTAGAGCTCAAACATTATTACCCCATCACAACAATAACATATCCTAAACAAGCTAGTTTTGCTGTGTGTCATTTTTTAAAGTGGTTCAGAAGAGAAACAACTGTAAAACCATGATCTTTAAAAATAAATACTCAAAAGTATTTCATTTAAATAATGACTGTTAGTCACTATCTACTACTGTTTGTACCACTCTAAGAGCAAATAACAGACATTAAATTGAGCTTATATCCCACTAATACATTTGTTGCAATATTCACATATTACTAATACTAGGAATATTAGGAGTATGAGGTTTTTGTGATGTTATTTCTGGATAAAATGCTGTATTAAATTACTGCTAACCCTAGCCTAACCCTAACCCTAACTGCAAACCAATCTCCTGCTGCTGCAGCTTCACATTAAAAAGCTTTGACCTGGCAAAACACAAGTTCACTTTTGTTATAGAGTATGAACAAGAAATGCGATGCGTTAAGCAAGACAATAGTCGATTACAGCATCTCTTGACAGCAGATTAGTTTGAAATATTACAGGAAGTAGTTGAACGTGAAGGTACAAAATCCTTATATCTCCGACCTAGCAAATCTGCGCAAAGGGTTTTCCAACTTGCTGCCTAAGTATGGGCTAAAAAACACAACTTGAACAAGAAGCTCAAATAAGCTTCTGGGTTTCACAGACGAAATATAACATGATCTTCAAAAACAAAAACGTTTTTCTGCTTCTGAACTCCTCAATAGTTAAAATCTTAACAATGTCCAAACTGCACTTCCCCATGAGTTGTTCTAAGCATTGTAAAGTGAGTTCTTCTTTAGGGCAGTCTTCTCACCTTCCTCCTGTACATCCCTGCGGCCAGCGGCACGTCTGGTACACCCGCTGCAGCACGGTCCCATTCTGCACCTGGCAGGTCACTGTCTTAGTGACCGTGTGAGGACACCAGTTCCTGAAGGGAGGACAAGAAAGAGTGAATGACATCATCAAACAGCTGTTATTGTAAGAAAAACTCAAGAAAGAATGGTTTATATAGTAAAAACACCTTCAAACAAGTGCGCACACACTATAGCATGCTCACAAAAGACAATAAGCCATGCCGGCACATTCAGTATATTGTCTTTCCCGAGGGATGAGATTCGCTCCTCTCTTACCCCACACAGTAACAACATTTGCAGGAGTGCATATTTACTCTTTTAATGTCTCTCTCCTATCAATGACATCCGTTTGCATTATGCTCTCAGAGGAGGTAAAGTAGGATGAAATAACGAGCAAGACGAGGTCCCATACGGAGATTAAAGTCTTTCACACAGGTTCATTCTTGGCCATAAATCCGCTCCGTTTAAAAAGAGTCTTTGGAAAACCGTGTATCAGGATTCACTCCGGCTCTTAAGAAACCCGGGTATTAGGCGGTACAAAGATGATATCAAGGTCAGAAGATAAGATCTGATATTGAGGAGGATTTGATTACGTAGAGCAGGCTGAGTCAAGTGCACCTCCAAGTTATTTCATAGGCTTCCAGGAGAAAAATGATATGCTTTCGAACATTAAAGCACTCAATGCCATCGTTAGACTAGAAGAGCCAAATCATGTTTTTATAATTAACGTTGATTTATTTGAGAGCTAACCGGTTTGGTTTATTCCTCACAGAAACCTCCCTGTAAGAGGAGCAGATCTTTGTTCCTGCGGTCCATCGAGAGAAGTTTATCTTGAGAGGCCAGTTTCATCCCCCTACTTATCATTTCAACAAAACACCAAAGGGGATTTCTCTGCTTAATGTATGGAAAACACACTGAGGCTGTTTGATATGTTACTATTATTTAATTAACAAATACCCAGATTACCTTCACATGGCTACAGCTGGAGGAGAAACGAGGACAACAACTATTATAGCCTGTGTTTACACAATCAATAGATGTGTATAAAGGGGGCTCTATGTAGAAACCACAAAGGAGACTGTGTGGCTCTCGGCACAAAACTACACTTTGTGTGTTCTGCTGCCAACATGTTTGCAAGTGTGGGAGTGTGTTCCCACCAAAGTCTGTTTGTCAATATGTGAGACCATATGTTTGTGTGTGTGAGGGACGGTTTACACTAAAGGAAACTGCCGAGGGCGGAGGATGCGAAGCAGCCCTGAACCAGCTCCCATTAACAATCCCCACATGTTGTGGTGGCCGCACACACAGACCTGAGCCCACGAGCAGGAGCACCTCTGAGAAATGTCTGAACACTGCTGCAGGTATTTCCTTTGATGAGACCCTCTGCTTTAGTTCTGTCTGGAGTTTTGATTAAACTTCAGGTTTCTCCGTACATGTAATAATCGTTTGGCCTTGAGAATAATGCCAATTTGAAAAAAAGTTCACCAGATCAACTTATTTGTTTTAAATGTTATATGGACTTTTAAAAGCAAAGATAGTAAGAAACAGTGTTGAGTAAATCTTAAGCTTCTCTCGTAAAGACGGTAGGGAATAATCTACTATAAGTTATTTAAATACAGCCTCATCTTCAATGTATTTTACTAAGTGTATCCGTCAGTCTTAAGAATACAAAAATGAAAACGGATCTGTATGATTACCCTATGATTGCTTTCCTGTGTCCAGAAAAAGTTGTTATAATCATCGGTGAAAAATGTCAGACATTGAAGGAGCTGTGGTCAGGTAGAGCAGGGAGTAACGGGAGGGGGGGGGGGGTAAGCCCAACCCCTCCCCACAATTTATCCTCCAGGACAGATAAACATCTGAGTTTCCCAGGCTGGGAAGAGGCTTCACCTGGGAACAGCTAATATTGTCACCAGGGGGTACGAGGAGGGAAGTGGGGGGGGGGGGGGGGGGGTTTATAGTCTCCCCTTTCTCTTTGGATTGCATTTATGCAATTACTAGAGAGGAAATGCCAACAGCTGCTACTTTAGTGGATGAAATAACAAAAGAAGTTGGCAAAACAGAGTTAACAATCTCCCAAGTGGCTTGAAAACGAATACCTGCATTTCCTACATAACTGATTTACACAATATATAATGAGTGCAAGGCAGCGGAGAGGATGGAGATGCCTAAAGATAACTGTATTAGCTGGATACAGGTAACATCATTATCTCTGTGATGTCAAAGAGTACATATTTAAATGTGTTACAGTACATGCCCTACAGCAAATCCCTCTTTTTGTTTCATTACATTTTGTCTGGCTTTGTTCATACACAGGTGCTTGATGTCTTTCCCTCTTCAATGTTTCATAGTCAACACCTTCCTCTTAGTGGAGGTGTTCTTGTGTTATGAAGTGTGAAACCCACCAGCACCATGCTGTTTCACTGGCAAAAGCACCAAGCAGGCCCTCAGAGAGTATCAGGTCTCTAAGCACACATGGCAGACTCTGAACGCCGGGCCAAAGCTAAATAAATCATCAGAAACCTCTCACAGTCGCACACAGCCACAGCCAACCGTTATGAAAGAAATCCACAATCTTTAAGGGACGGAAAAATCACAGCTTCGTCCCATCTGTCCCCTGACATACAGACGCCAAGACAGTAGGAACATTTGAGGGGAATACAAATGTGCTGAACCCTAAGTAAATGTGAATGCTGACAGAAAAGCCACAAACTTATATCTACTAGAAAGTATAACGCTACATCTGAGTTGCCATCATTTGGCCTTGTAAGCAGTATGCATTGTCATTACTACTGAGGTTATGCACTTTCTGCAGCAATGTGGGGAGTTTATCCGTGTGAACTGAGAAGATTGTTGATGATGGAACGCTGTTCGTTGAAACATTTCCCAGTAACTCCCTTTTTCATTCAAGTACTGTGGGAGGAACAACACTCGGAGATATGTTTGAAATGCAGCAGGGATGGAAATCAAAAGGAATTTCTCTAGATTTCTGTCTGTGGGAAAAAAAAACCTTGAGGAGGACAAAGGACAAAAGACAGATGTGGCAAAAGGCCAGACAGAGGAGAGGAGAGGAGAAGAGGAGAGGAGAGGAGAGGGGAGGAGGAGAGAGGAGGAGAGGAGACAAAGGTTACTTTATCTAAAGGTCACGTAAGGATGCTTCCGATGGGAACAGGGAAATGAGAGGAAAGACAATTATCCTCTCCTTTAATTTGACATTTTATTAGCTGTCATTTGGCCTATAGTTGACTTTTTAGTCCTGCTTTATTTTTTATGTTGAGATGTTTATATTTTACGTTTGTTTATTTCCTACTCTTTTCATTTTCACATTATGTGCAATGCCTTGTTTTAACATGCTGCTGTGACGAAAGAAAATCCCAAATCTTATCTTATCTTATGAAGCCCTGTTGGTCTCAGGGGATACAGAGGAGGCATCAGATCAATGTGGTGCAACAACGAGAGAAATGGAGAGCACAAGAAAATCAATGAAGACAAAAGAGGGATAAGACATTCCTCAAGTCATAATCTGCAGCTTCTAAATGAAAAAACAGTAGCCAATGTGAGAACAAATAAATATGAAATGTAGTTAATAGAGGATATTAAGGCTGGTGTGTGATCAGTTTTAAAGCTGCCTTGTGTTTTCCATGTGCACGGGACAGTGAAGGGGATCAAAGCAGGTCAGAGACTCTCGCAGCCGCCTCAGAGGAACGAGGAAAACTCCCATTTGTCTTTGTCTGTTTCAGGTCTGCACACCTGCGAGCTCTAAGTGTGTCTCTGTGTGTAACGGGTGCGCACATCTTTAAGTGTTTCAGGCTGGAGGTACAAAGGGAATTCCTCTCAGCAAGGATTCACGTTTATCACACTATGACTTCATACAGCCTGATCATTAATGTACCCTCATGTGGAGCTGAGCTGAGACACATTATGGATGTTCACATGCACTCTACAATCTGTAATCGGGCACTGTTTTAGGGTTTACTGTTATTATCAGTACATGTGTGTAAGTTATGTTCCTGCTCAATCGATTCATGGTTTATGGTGGTGTCTTTTTGATGTCTTAAAACGTGTAAAACTTAAACTGACTAATTACCAATGTATATGTTATTTCATTTAATTATCCTTTGATTCACTGCATAGGAAGTAAGAAAATAGTGTGAAATTCCAGCAAAGGTCTCGTATACAACATAGAGAGTGGGTATTTATAACGAAACAGAACTGAGAAAAACAGCAAACCCTCACATTTGAGAAGTAGAGAGTAACTTTGCTTAGAAAGCGACCATTTATCAACCAATTGCTGCAGAGCCGCTAGTCTCCCTCCCTGAGAAGGACCTTGATTAATGTATCAGCCACCAGTGATTAAATTGAGTTTCTCAATTGGAAACGGCTTCCTAATACCCATGAAATATTGTTCCTAAGCTCATACATTATTTGAAGTTATTTAAAACCTAAAGCCATTCTGCTTTAAGCCACACAGGGCTCAGCCCACTGGAATCTCTGTCATCTTCATTCCCATGCTAAAGAAAAGGTGGCTATGGTTAAGATGGCTGAGGAATGAGGGCGGCCACGGGCTCAGACTGCCTGTCAGACCATGACAAGTCCTCCGAGGGAGGATAAAGAAATGGACCAGACAAGAAGTAAGAAAGCAGCTTCCTGCGTAACCCCTCAGTGTGCTGAGCTCATATAGACGTTAAGACTGACAAGGGTGAATGAACACTTTATCAGCTCCTCCACAGAGCGAATGTGAAATTACTCAAGAGTTGTTAATCCCCTTTGATTTAGATAATCACTGTGTGAGGACAGGGCTGCTGCGCGAGGACATCTTAGAGAAGGTTTTACTGTGACAGAATCCTAGTCTGCTGAAATATATATCTATTTCCTTTTGAAGTGCCTGAACCGAGGACTTGTTAAGTTTCTGTCATTCAATGTCAAGTTGCTAATGCCCATAAGAGCCTCTCGCTTTCTGATATCCCATTGCCACTGTTTGGCTTTGTTGACACAAACTGCAGCTTTCAAAGGGCAGGTGAGTCCTCCGATGTCACATAAACCCGCCGACCTCTCTGCATCCAAAGACTCACATCATCAACAGCTTCATCTCTGTCTATCCTGACATTCCTTTCACTTGCCCATTACAAACAGCAGCAGACCCACTGTAAACTCATCCCTCCCTCCCAGAACGGGCCCAGATGCGGTGGAGTCCCAGCTGCTTGTGTTTAGTAAACATGTCCACAAGCCGCCGGCAGTGAGTGACAGGGGATCTGAGCGGGGGGGCGATCCAGTGGAGCGAGGCTGGGGGGCGCTGAGAGCCACCTGAACACACCCACAGAGGGTCTGATCAGAGAGAGGAAGGGTTTCAGCCTCCAGACACAGCCCACACACACTCTCAACCTGACACGATAAATATTTGTAAAATGAGAAAAGTCCTCTCATCACTGCTGGTCTCCAGGCTTGGGGAGTAACTGATTAATTGCAATAGGATTACGTAATCAGGATTCAAAATAATAGTAACTGTATTCCCTTACAGTAACATTAAAATAAGACCTAATCAGATTACAGTTAGATTTCTAAAAATTGGGATTACTAGCAGGATACAATAATACTAAATAACAAAAAATAGCATATTTGTGTTTGTTGCAAAAGGAGCAGATTTCTTCTGTACTGTTCTGTAGGCGAATACTTTAAGAGTGAATACTCATACTTTTTTATACTAAATATCTTGGTTTCTTCTTTTCTGAGGTTACATTGTTCTGTTGTCTTACATAATAGGCTTCAGTAAAAACATCTTATTGATATTTCCTTTCTTTTTTATTTAGTTTCATTGCATTTGATATTAAGGTGATCCAAAAGTAACAGAAATTACTTTTATATTTCGATACTCAGATGAGGTTACTGATTACATTTATTTTACAGGTACCTAGTAATTGTAACGGATTACATTTTAAAGTAACTTTCCCATCCCTGTCTCTGAGCTGAGTTAAGGTCTGTGTTCAGTCTTACTCCTGGTCAGAAACACCCTAACTCAATCATTTCACCATCTCATCCCCCGTTTGTATTCAACAACCTTTTTTTAAACTATCAATGCTGTGCACTTTACTACAGGCATACAGATCCTCACTCCACTATTCACTGTCTATAAAACGTATTCAAGATGCATCCTGTCCTCACGGCTGGGATCAACATCAGAGCAGGTTTTTGCGAGGACAGATGTGAGGACTAAAGGTGATGCTTTGAAGAGAACCCTGACAGCTGAGAAGAAGCAGATGATGGAGTCATTGATGCTGAATCAGCAGACAACACAACACTGGAGAGACAACCACGTAAAGAGGGTGTGTAAATGGGGACAACAATAAGGACAGGAGGCAGCAGAGCAATGTGGGCCGCCGGCACAGGAAAAAGGAAACCAACTGTCAGGAAGACAAAGGGACCTGGGAGATGGATGGAGATGGGAGTAGCTCTGCACTCATTGACAAGAGGATACAAAAAGTGAGGTTTAAAAATAGGATGTAGAGGGAAGAAATGGTTATGTGTACATGTATCAACACAACTGAGGATTACCATAGGATCAAAAAAAGATATGCAAAAGAGATATCCCCGGGTGGAAATTGGATTTTCTTAACAGATGATCCATTTTAGAATACAATCAAAAATATGTAAATGAACATAGGGAAGTTAAAGTAAACATGCACATAGTACAAGAGTGTATAAATATGTTTACATTTGTAAATTAGGATTTGCTGAAAACCAGATTAGTGTTCAGTGGAATACAGTATATAGTAAAGTGTTTGCAGAAGTCGAAGTACTCAGTTCTTGTACTTAAGTTCAATTAGAAATACTAAAGTATAGGAATACTCTTCAAGTAAAAGTCCTGCAAAATGTTACTCAAGTAAAAGTACAAACGTATTGGCATCTAAAGGACTCATTATGCAGATTGGCCCATTTCACAATCATATATATAATTGATGCATTGATGTTTTTATCAAGCTGGTAAAGGTGGAACTCATTTTAATTACTTCATGTAGGCTACTTCAGGGTACCATGTAATTGTAATCCAGCAGTGGAAGTACAAAGTAACATAAAATGGAAATACTCAAGTACAAGTGCCTAACAATTGTACAGTACTTGAGTATATAGTTACTTAACACCACTGAGTGTATGTATTATAACAATATAAAGAGACAGTAAAGTGGATGCTCTCCTTACCTTTTCTGGTACACTGAGGAGGCTGAGTAGGTTTTGTACAGCCCGGTCTTCCAGGTCGCGTGCACAGACACAGAGCTCAGCGCGAGGACCAGCAGCGTCCAGAGCAAACTTTTACTACAAAGCGCGGACACGCTCTCCATTTCCGTGGCATCAAAGGTACAGCCAGAAAAGTTGAAATGAGCCCAGCTTCCCCCGGTAAGAAAACACACCGGTTAGTGGATCCAGCTCGGTGGCGGAAATGTGTCAAACAGCCCCGGGTTGGCTGGAGAAGACGAGCATCCTATTCACTAAAGTGGAAAAAATGCAGTTTACTAAAACACTGCCTGACTCTGGTTTCGCTGCAAAAAACCATAAGAAAGAAAATTACTGCCCCATAAATTCACGCTTCTCTTTAGGCACTACCTTTGACAGTGAGCCACATGTGAAAATAAACCTTAAATACTGTGTGTGTGGGTGTTACGTGTGTGTGTTGCTGTCTATCTGCTCTGCCTACCTCCGTGTGTCTGCGCATATCGAGCCGAGCCGAGCCTTCACTGCAGCGGGCATGAAACTACTTTTATAGTCTCCCCGGGTCGTTTAAAAGCGCAGCCTGCTTCTTTTTTTTTTACCCTGCCCCGTTTCAACCTCTCCCAGAGCTCAGCACAATGCGTGCTCAAGGGGACGGCGCATTACGCACTGTAGCCTATTCTGCTTTAAATTAATTATGGGCTGCTGCTGCTGCTCAGTCCGAGGCTCTCCTGAAATCACTGGAGCTGTGCCGGTGATGAGTAAGCGATTTTTTGGTGAACACACAACTGAATACAAAATAAATGATTACTTAGTTCTGGCTTATTGAAACACTATAGTTATATTTGAACGCCTATAAAGGTTCATCACAGTATTGTTCATGCTTCAACATCATGTAGGCTACTGTCCTTGTGTATGTATGTTGGAAGAAGTGCTCAGATCCTTTACCTAAGTAAAAGTCCTGATTTCAAATGTTGTCCCTAAGTAAAAGTACAAAAGTATTAGCATCAAAATGTAATTAAAGCACAAAAGTTCTTATTCTGCACAATGGCCATTTTAAGATGAATCAGTAGGCTACATAGCAGTTTTTGCTAAATGTACTTCAAGTTTTAAAAGTACTCGTTTCTCTAAATCTTTTCACAGTATTATATTATGCTGTTTTAAAACATGGAAGAGCATTTTAGTGTTGTAGTTCGTCAATGTGGTCCACATTTAGATACTTGAAATGATGTGTAGATGTAGTATGGTACTGCATTATACCCTATCAGCATATCAGGTATTTTATATGCACAAGTAAATGTTAAAAACTGTTAAATAATTGTAATGGAGTAAAAAGTACAATATCTGCACACGTGGTGGAGTAGACGTATAAAGAAGCAACAAATGGAAATACTCAAATTAAGTACAAATATGTCAAAAAATAACTTAAAGTGGACCTATTATGCTATATTGGAAAAATATATTGTAGGGCCATACCTAAACAAAACATGTCTGTGAAGTTTTTTGCTTAAAATACCAAACAGATCACCCATTGTAGCCATCCCTCATACTGCTCATACCCCTCTTTTGCAGCCCTGTTAGAGAAACGCGGATTTTGGGTCCTTAGCTTGAAAAAAAAGGAAAGAGGAGGCGGAGCTAATGCCTGATCAGAATTCTACCGGAGATAAAGTTAAATTCTGCTGTGATAAAACGCCATCCTGTTATAAACCACATCAAGGATTATTTCTGAAACAGTATGGAGCTCAAATGCTTTTTCTCTTGCGGGTAGAGTTCCTTTTTTTATTTCCTGCTTTTTAAACACATGAGCTCTACAGTACAGGTTAGCTCTGAGTGTTAGCGAGGCTTGCTAATGTAAACAAAGACGAGATTACGTCCAAAACACGTCAGGCATTGTTTCTGATAGCAATTTTCTGTAGCCTCTCTGTAAAAGCCATCATATAGACAGTGGCAGGAGAATAGTTGAGGTTACTGTAACCTCCACCAACCCAAACATGTGGGACATGTGGGACATAGGTTTTAAAACAGCCTGTAACCAAAACGCTGCGGCTCTGCTCCAAAGCAAACACCTGGCTGGCACTGCAACCAGAAACTGGGGCCCAAGATGTATATCTGCGGTTGGGGGTGACTACACCTCTCGGGCCCCATGGGCGGAGCTGCAAGTCCCGCCAGCTGCAAAAGATGCAGCAAAGAGTTTTGTCACTGGCTGTAGTTTAGATGATGTTCTCAGCTCGTGAGAGATGGTGTTAACACTTTGACACTCACAGAGAGTCAGTCAGACTGGCACTAATCACCCCCTATACTACAGTAAGAAGGTGGCAAACATCCATGCCCTCAAATGGGATTGAGTAAGCCCACCTGCTCTCAATAACATAAACGGAAACTGTTAGGGATTGGGGGGTAGGGGGAGGGCTGGAAAGTTATGTGTCAGAGTTTTTGTTTCAGGGCACCCACAGTATTTTATGAGGCCGCTTGGCTCAGGCAATAGTGCCAACAGGAACTGCAGCAGTTTAGGGTAAACGTAAATCCCTCCAGTCACGAGCAGCTGAAAATAATTTTGACCTCTGAGGAGAGGGACGGGGGCCATTTCCATTGAGAGGATTCCTTTCCCTTTATCCCGTATTATTGTTTCACTCCTGATTCCATAATTTCCTCAAAAAGAGCTGCATTATTGTCTGAGCACTCACTGATAATCTGCTTACTCATATGAAGTGTAGGTTCATTAAACAACATACCATTCTTTCCCTCTTTTCAACAGGGAAACACATTCCTCCCCTCCTGTGTTAGGTCATAAACATGTCCTAATCTTCACTCTTTATGATAGTCACACTAGTAAAGAGCTGAGAGTGGGCCTGTCTAACCTTTGCCCTCAGCCATTCAGAGCGGGGTCTTAAAGGCTACATAATACAGTAATGAGACGCAAGACAGTGACGTCATGAGGAAAGGCCTCTTATATAAAGAAACCTCATTGTTAACACACATTTTCATGTTGCTGATTTCAGCCTTATGGTGATTTCAGTCTATAGGACACAGTTGAGTCTGACCAGCATATCTATAATTAGAGCAGCACATACACAGCTCAGGCTACATGATCATAAATGTATGTTGCACACATTATAACTTTATAAAATCTGCCTTTCTGTGACCTCACTGCCACACTATCAGCCCGATCCTGCGGGGGCTGTCTGATTTTAAGAGTTAATTTCTCACCTGCTTTGGCATGCAGACCTCAGCAGCCTCGATTACTCAGTGCTGCACCAGATCTGTTTGCTAAATATACAGTAAAGCACACACTGCTACCTTTACTGCAGAGAACAGCTGAAAAGCTACTTGGGTAAAGTGGAAAACTTCAGCAGCCTTTGGTCAATGGTTAATTTTCCACTGTATGCAGCAGATTGTGTTCCCTTCACAATCTCAGCAGGGCATCCAGCATCTGCTCAGCTGTCCTTTTTAGGAATAGACAGATGTATTTGTTATTTCGTTCAAGAAAGTCAGATAGACATGATTTTAAATTATTTGCAAACATTTATTCATAAATACAAAGGTAAAAGACTAGTAGGCCTGAAAGATGAGCCACCATAGCCTGCTGGCACTTTAGCGCACTGTAGCAGCCAAAATAAATCCCTGTTGCTACTGCCCAGAGTGAAGAGCTCAGTACTGATGTGTGCTGCCATCTAGTGATACAAAAATGTAAAAATATGAGTCAAAATTGTAGTTTTCTTTTAAAACTCTTTTCTCATAACTGATTTGTTTTCCAATAAATCAAAGGTAAAGTGTGTTTTCTCTTAAAGAAAGCTGTTATTAATTATGAACAATCAGCATGTCTGAACAAACTGTGTGAAAGCTAAACAGCTCAGTGAAGCCCATCTTCAGTCAGAGTTGAGGCATAGACAGACGCCCCGGAGCACCCAGTGGGAGAGGTGCATGGTGGTGAACAGGTCTGCCTCAAACACCAACCCCACACTCATTGCATTCCTGCGCAGAGAAGTGGTGTACACTGGTGTGCGTAATGTATTCTGTGGAGAAGCACACACCGATATGCACATGAGTTAGAGGGGGAAGAAATCTAAATAGTGAGGTACTGTTTGGAGGCCTTTGTTGGTCCACACCTGTAATCTCAGGCGACTAGCCTCTATGGGGATGACTTTGAGGATGGGAAGTTCAACAACCAGAACCTTTGGTTGACTCTTCACCAGACAGCCATTCTCCATGTCCCAGTCGGCTCCCTCTAGATACAGGCCAGACACATAGCAACCTGCAGGGAAAAACACCATGAGCCCCTTACACCTCATCCCTTATAATCACTTAGCAAACTGTGAGAGATATTTAATTACCCTGTCCAGGTTTGTCACTAATCTCGTCCTCACTGCGGTACTGAGTGACCTCTGTGAACAGCGTGGAAAGGTCCAGAGGCCAACCATTTTTCCTGCATGCGGTTTGAACCAGGGCAGTGAGGTAGGACTCTGGGATCTGGAGTCCAGACAGCCACATCACCTTTGGCTCTCCCTTCTCCACCTGGTGGACACAAGATACACAGATACATAAGCAATAACATACATTCTCAAGTTGTTATTCAAAGGCTACATAAATCCTTGATTTAAATCATCACTAAAGACACACTTCTTCTCTCTGGCCTTCTAGTCAGAGCGGAGTATGACACCTGACTATTCCCTCCCTGTGTTTTTGTTTTTTATATTTCTGTGGTAAATTATTGTCTTTTATTGTGATTGTAGTAAAGTGTTTTTATTATATGTACAGCACTTTGGCTCGACCAAAAATCGCTTTTTAAATGTGCTATATAAATAAAACTTGATTTGATTTGATCCGTGAGAGTGTGTCCTTCCTTACCCAGTAGCTATACTGTTCATACCGCCTCTTGAAATGGATCATCCAGTTGCCGAGGGACTTGAGAGTGTCAGGAGCCAACTTCTTCCAGATAGCAGGGATGTGACCGTTAAAAAGAGCCCGAGCGACCTCATCCAACTCGCTGCTCATACCCACCTCTCCAGACAAAGCCTTGAAGACACAAGACAATCAGAAACAAATCTAAACCCATGAAAGGCAGAAAGATGTTACATCAGTGTGTGTTTCCCCAATATCTTGTTGTCCTCCCCCTCCTCCTCACCCTTTGCAGCTCGAACAGAGAGCGCTGCATGCAGACCACTAGCTTGTTGAAGCGCTCCAGTTCTTGAAGCAGCACCACTGAGGTCGGTGATATGTCCGTGCCAAACTTTTTACAGATCACGTCTATGTCGTATAACTGAGGCAGCTTGTTCTGAATGTCCTGGGCCACCTGGCTGATAAACTCATCCCTGCTGATGCCTCCACCAGAGTCACCTGAGGCAAAAGAGAGCGTTCAAAGGCCTTAAGAGAGAAAGCACTTACTGTAGAAGCACGGTTGCGAAGATTGTAAAGTAAATATCCTTACAGTCGCAGTAAAAGTATGAAACGTATTTAACTTCCAACATTTTTTAATATTACTTCCTTGGATGATCTTCTGAAAAGTCAATATGGAGGCAAGCACCGTAACAATGTCTTTCTTTGAATTCAATGAATTGGCAAGAGAGATTAAA